TTTTTTTTTTTTGCCGTGGACCTGTAAACCTTGGTAAATATATGTTACACGGCACTTTCAAAATAAATATGCAAAAACTTGCAAAAGTTCTAACAAACGGGTAACAAATATTTTAGCTGTCCTGCGCTTTGAAATGCCTTTCGAAAGAGATGTTTTTCGCTTCGATCCGTGCTGTAATTTCCGAGAAACGACTTTCGAGCGGGTCAGAATGTATATCGGCAAAGAACTATACGAGTCTCGGCGCTTTGTGTTAATCATCATTCATGCAGGGGAATTGCCCGATTTCCATATTTTAACTTCGGAGAAGCACGTGTATGATTATTTTCCTGCCCAGTGCTTTGAAAATGATTTATTTCGGTGGCGCGACCCAATGACTAGCCTCGATTTCGGCCGCTCTCTCGCGTCCGGTAAAATAACTTTCAACGCGGGACGCGAAGCTTAAAATAGATTGAAAAAGATTATCATGGGGCTCGCGGATGTGTTCTCTCAGGAATCTCCAATGAAACAACGCGGCCAAGAAAGTTTCAAAGCAAAAGTGAGTTTCGCATTTTACCAACTTTGACTGGTATGGTTTCAGAGTGAAAGGGCCGTTATTAAATTTCTCGGGGTAGTGTTAACGGGATTGCAAGTGTTTGTACTCCCTCTCGGCTTCACTTTCTGTCGGTCTCACCATAGCACGTTAATAGAGAGGCTGGTTATATATGAAGCCCGGCAAACATCAAAGTAGCAAACAAAGACTTCAAGATTTATGCTGGAAGGTCCACGACGTGCACATTCTTTTGCTTTACGCTCATACACTATGCATAAATTACGTAACTAAAATGTTTCTATTGGTTACTTCCCCGGTACGGAGTAAACAACTATTGTGTTTTGTGCGCGGTCAAGGCCAAAAATGCGAACAAAAACATACAACAAAGAACTTTGTCGGGTTTCATAACCATTCCGCTCTATTAATTATGGTCTCACACTCTAATAAATGCACTTTCAATGTGCTGGACACACATGGAGCTGAGGCGATAAAATGTCCACTGTGATTGGCGTAAACTGAACAATGGACAAAGAACACAAACAATGCCCAATGTCCATGCAAAAGAAGCAGGTAGAGTGTTACAAAAGTAGACATGCACTTGGCGTGACGGCTCGCCGGGCTGTATTCAAAGTCGACATTAGAGCCCGGGTTAGAAGAAGCTCTCTGAACATGAAGGCTGTTGTTTATTTTGCAACTATCTTCTTTATTGAAAATGCGGTTGGTGAGTATTGAAGTGCTTCGACGGAATTATTTTGCTAAGTACGTAGGATTTTACAATAAAGCTTGCTACTTGTACCTAGACAATCGTACGCCACAAGGTGAGTCCATAGAAGCTCAAAGATCTGCCTGAAAATATATTGCCCAAGGTTAACTGACTTAATTAACTTAAAATTGATTATTTCTGGATCAAATTTCAGTTCCCACATGCATACCATTTTTCATTAACAGATTGAGTCACCCTCAAAATCACTTCAGCAAATAATTACTGCGAACAGAAGTCTTAACCGACTTAGAAATTCCGTAGGAAATGGCGATCTTATAATATCTTCTAGTGGTNAAAACATTTGTGTAAAAGTGACCAAATTTAATTATGTTTGTAAACGAGAGGCAATTAGATCAATCCAATGCTTAATGCCTAAAGCCTGGTTTTCAGTACGACATATGCACAAGCACAACTGAGCGCAAGGACGCCATAGTGAGGACGCGCACCACACAAGTATAAGCACAAGCACAAACGGAACAAACGTTTTTGTTCTCTCTTGTGCTTATCCTTATGTCAAGTGAGAACGCTTTGCTGTAAGCATAAGCATAAGCAGAGACAACTGTTTTCCTATAAAAGTTTGGTAAATTAAAATAAGGCTCGGAGAGGTCAACCTCCTTGCACAGTTGACTTTTGTCTATATAAACAGGCATAATAGACCTTTTTAGCTTGGGCGGTTTGTTTTTCCATTACAGACCACGTGATATTGTCTTGAGAATTGTTCTTTTATCCATCTTAAAATTATTCAGTCATACACATGCGACTAGTTGAAAATTTGAAAGCAAGAATTTTCAAGAGTATAATCACATGGTCTGTAATGGGGCAACAAACCGCCCAAGTTAAAAAGTTCTATTTAAGTCTGTAGATATCGGTTAGCACTCGTCTCCATATTTCAGAATGACGTGACGTCA